GAAAAAACATAACTATGCTGGTAACTTCACCAATTTAACCAGGAAATTGAATTTTCAAATTTTTTAGGTACCTTTGACCATTTTGCTTATATTTTTCATAATGTAGAAAGAAATTATATTTGGAAAAAGTTTATATAAGGTTGCAACCTTAAAATATAGAATTAAAGGTGCACCACAAAAATCCATCATGGAAGCTTGTTTATCGAAAAGGATGCAATTTCTATAAGACCTAGTCTTTTCGAAAATAAAGTAGAGCCTCACCTCAAATCCTCATTTGAAAAGCGCTTTAGGCATAAAAATCTCCAAGATGACACTAAAATCAATTTCCAACACTATGACTTTGAAGCTCAAAAAATAGTCCAGATCTTAAAGATTCATGAATAATTACTTTTATGGTAAAATAAACGGTTTAGATAATGTGTTACAATATACATATTGAGGCTTTACTTATTTTGACAGCACTACAGACATTTTTCCTATCGGAAAACCACTACTTATATACATATTGCATTACAAACATACAAACCACTTACTGTATTTTATATTCACTAATCGTAATGCAATCTTTAAATACCACAGTTAAATACTCACTTCAAAAAATGGAAATTCATTACTTACTATTTGCATATGTTATTGCAATCCTCTCCTTTTAAAACTACTGTCCACAACTTCTGGACAATTTCTATCTGGTTTTGACATGCAATCACCACTAGTTACTGCGATTCTCTCCTCTCAAAACTAGTCTGGCTAAATCCTGTCCAATTTTGATATGCAATCCCCACTTAAATACCTATGCACATTTCAAAATGGGATAAACATGTTAAAAGTCTGCACACACAAATTTCGACAAAGGAAATTTCAGAAAAAATCGAAGTGGCCTACTCCCCTCTCTCGTTTCGGTCCACTAGGATATTCCTCATTCGTTAATTTGATGAATAACCTCAACAGAACAATAAATTCATATATAGTAGAAACTGATCAGCTAAACTAATGGTAAGTAATATATTTGGACAGCTGAATCATTCTCACTCGCCTCCAAACATACTAAACTAGAGCAATACATCGGTTTAGGCCTGTTTTCGTGCAAAATCGAAGTGGAATAGGATTTAAGTAGATGTCTGTCAGGCGATATTGCATTGATACTTAGCTGGGGTAAGGACTGTTTTAGAATCATATCCTATATATTCTGAGCCCATCGATGCGGCCGCATAAAGCATTAACTGCCTGCAGATGATAACACTGACTAATGATATGGTTATTTAAGATGAGTTTCTAAGAAATGTGGTTTCTTGTTCAAAATCAATGGCAACACATGTACATTTCATTAACAATTTAATTACTGAAACTGGATCTGAGGAATCTCGCCCTTTAATTGGCTTTTATTTCAACAAATCAGGATGTCACTTTAATTTATGAGAAGAGTTTTTGCTTCAGTCTGTAGTAAATCTATCAGTGTTCTAACACCCACAAATTTGGTGGAGGTTTCTTGTTGAGCTTCCAACAAAGTTAACTTTAACTAATGTTGATGTACTTAAAATTCCTCTCGACTAGGTCGCTTCTAAGAAAGGGTCCCTCGGTTTGATTCTGATTCCGATCAAAAACTTTATTTCTTAAAAAGATTGAATCCTTTCCTGTAAATGCCACTATTGAGGAAAAAATTATACATCATCGTAATTTGTATCCAAAGGCAAATATAAATGCATTTGCAAATTGCTCCATTAAGGTTTTATTGCAAGTTCTTAGATTTTGGTAGGGGACAACAACCGCTATGGCATGTAAAATCTGGTTGGTATCATACTATTACAAAAATTTTGCTGATATGCTGAAGACTATATTCTAATACTTCTTTGTTAAGCTCGGCAGAATATATTTAGGGCTTCTTTTGTTTGCTTGATGGTTTGAAGAGCAAAGAATCTTGAAATGGCATCAACGCTATGCTTTATACATTAAACTTGGAGATCTGATCGAAACAGGAAAAAATGACAAAGATTGGCTTTTTGAAGCATATCCCATGAGATGAAAGGTCTAAGAAGGGTGATGACCTTGAACCTTCTTTTAACCCATCCCATGATGCAAGGACTAAGAAGGGTGATGACCTTAAACCTTCTCTTAACCCATCCCATTCCCAGGTAAAGGTATATGGTTGTGTTAGGTAAGACAGTTAACGTAAAATTTTACTAAAACCCATCATGAATCCTGACAAACTTAAGCATAATAGAGAATTAGGATTCATATAACCGACCCTAATTAATTGGAAAAAAGCTAAAATGATGATGATGATCTTATGAGATGCAACCAACCTCTCTAATATACCGAAGATTGATTATCCACAGACTAATACTTGATTATACACCCTCCCTCCACATTAAACTTGGAGATCTGATGAAAACAGGAAAAAAGTGAACTTGGAGAATGTGCTTGCACGTCTCTTGCAGAGATTGGCTTTTTGAAGCATATCCCATGACATGCAACCAATCTCTTTATTATCCACATTCTAGTACCCCAGCAATTATGCTCCCTCCCTCTCTCTCTCCACAAAATTTATTTGATGAATCCTTTTAAAAAAAGGGGTCAGCGACGTTGGTAAAATTTTTCAATTATACAATAAAAACGAAGAAACAAATCTGTCATGTCAAGATTTACTGTTTAAGTAATCAAACAGACGCATACGGAAATATGCTTCTAATATTATTTTCGACAGCTAAACAGTTTATCAGCACAGTAAAACGAAGGTAAAGAGTGCGGTTTGTATAGAGTGTTAAGAAATGTGGTTTCAATACTGGAATTCTTTGTAATAGCCTTAAACTATATTTTCATCTTTACTTATAAAGTTTAAAGCTTCAAAAATAGTGTAGATTGACAGATCCATGAAAACTTGAAAATCTTGAAAATTGATGGTACAAAAATTGTTTCAAAATACACAACTTCCAAAACTTGTAATCCATTTTTTTCTCATGTCCATGCATCTTGATGTCTGAATAATGTCATCTTAATGTCTTGTTCAATACTCTCGATACCAAACAAAATCTTTTTTTTTTAAATAAAAAACCCATTTCAGTACTGTGAGTGCCAAACATTTTCTTGATTTTTCTTACAAAATCAAGTTAAGTACTGTCAGTACCAAACAAAATCCTTTTTTCTATTTTTTTCCTAAACAAAAACCAGTGCAGTGCTATGACTACCGCAACTTGATTTTGTAAGAACTTTCCCAAAAAAAAAAGTTGATTTTCTAAGAAAAGAAAACATGTTTGGTAACGGAACTAGTATTTGTTTTTAAAAAAAGAAAAAAAAAAGATTTTGCATTATTTTTGCTACTGCAATGCTACGACCTTATTACAGTGCTCTAAGTGCTAAACTTAAGCGCAATTTGAGAAAAAAAATAATAATTTCAAAAAACAAAAGGGACATCTATGTAAATTTCACAATTATCCTGACTTTTATAAATATCCATCAAAAAAGGCATTTTTACGTCTAATTTTCCTAAAATAAAATGACAAGAATTTCAATTAATTGCAAGCATTCTCAAAGTCAATATTATTTCATCAAACATCCAAAATCAATATTCTTTCATCAAACATCCAAACTAGCCCAAAAATTTTTATCTTAGCTGGATCTCCCAATCTACCCTCTCAGCAACTGCAGTTTTGATTGGATCCCCATTCCCCATGTTTCTAGGAGTTCTAAGGAGGCCTTGGATATATGAACAAGAGGTCATCATCCAGATACAGTAAGTTAGCCCAATTCATAATATCAACTTGGTGGTAATTAAATGTTAAAAGCCATTAAAAAAAATTCAAAATATCAACTTGGTGCGAATTAAATGTTAAAAGCCATTAAAAGAAAACAAAAAAAGGTAAAGTCAAGTGGGGATTTAAACCCCTACCTCTTGATAATAATAGAACCACATACTTCGGGCATACTACCGCCAAAGCCCCAGCCCAATCTCATGTTAAGGCAATTCCACCATTTGTGGAGAATCTCGAAACACGATTGGGGGTGTTTGCCTTCTAGGGAACATGAAATCTAAAGGACAACTCCTCGAATGCCACTAGAGGGCTTAGAAAACATTCACTCGTCTTAGGGGAATCTTGGAAAAATTCACAACTTACATAGTATCTCTCATCATTTTCAGTTGGAAAAAGTTTATATATAAGGTTGATACCTTAAAAGGTAGAATTAAAGTGCACCTCCTTTGAAAAAAAAAGGTTGTTTTGATGTTGGAAAAACATCTAATTGATCATCTCGACATCGTGATGAATAGATATAGAGAAGAAGAAAAAAATATATATAGATCTTAAGTGCTAAAAATAGTATATCTTGAAACGCATTATCTAGACCGTCCATTTTCAAAATTTTCACGTGTTTATAGATCTGTTTGAATTGAACCATTTGAGTCTAAAATTTTATAACTAGATTCTCTCAGCATCCTAAGAATTTGCGACACCACAATTACATCGCATGAGAAAGTTTGGAAGTGTACCTTCCTTTGATGCTTTGAGGTTGCAACCTTATGCAAACCACACCCTTTTCAATGAGGGGGCTGAAAGCCAGCCAAATTTTCGTGTGAACAAGAAAGACGCTCCAATGAGGGATTGTACGCCTCTCTAATATTCCTAAATTTGCATTGTGTTTCTGTGTCACCACAAAGTGCAACTGATCTGACCAAGACCAGAAACAAGACCCCAGAAGACGAGGATCCGTGAAGATAAATCGACCTCTAGTGAATAAAAACCTCATCATGGGTCCTACATAGATGTGGCAAATTAACTTTAAAAAGAAAATACAAATGGAGAAACTTGTAATGCCACACGTCATGTTCTGCAATATGATAAAATGCACACAATGTGAGCCTCTTCCACACCATACACACCCAAACGAAGAATAAAAGTTCACATACAAAACAAATAATAACAGGATATAAAAGGTCTATGCACAACAATTTGGGACCATGAAATAATTAGAGAATAATTATAAAGCCACCAAGAAAATTAACAAGAAGGTTGGAAGGTAAAGCCATTATCAACTTAATAATGTAAAATAGCCATCAACATGTGAGTAGCTAGCAGCAGTAAATGAAGTCGACAAATTCTTATTACAGCATTAGCCATGGTTTGCCCATAAAAATTATAAGCTGCAGCCACACCTTAAAACAAGTAAAAGGCCTAAGGGATACACATTCTTTTGTTGTTGGTAATCTCCACTGCTCAAAACCTATCAAACTATGGTACATAAGATAATTAATTAATAATACGAAGGACAGATTTCAGACATTAACTCATCCTAAAACTGCTTGTGCACAAACAATACCTTGTTCCATGTAAAAGAAACTTCTGCCGCCTCCCACACCATTCGGTCCTTTCTACTTCAAGGTGAAGAAGCTTTATGCATTGGATTCAGAAGTCCCGCCTGGAGAATCAAATGCCACTGCAAACAAGCAGTAAACCATTAGAAAATAAAGAAACATAAAACCCCCAATAACACGATTACATTTGCGCCACTCAAGCACAGACATGTATTTCTCCTGCATATCCAACCATATAAAGAAAGTACCTGGACAAAACCTGCATAGATCATTCAAGTGGTCCAGAAACTTAAAATATTAAGTGATACCTGGACGAGCGATTTTTTTTAATATATTACCAGTTGCTTCTGCTGCGGCTGTTATTGATCTTCTTATAATATTATCATCATCATCCTCATTATTGTATTGTTGTTGTTGATGATGTTGTTAGTTTGAGTGAAAATGACCACCTTCGACAGGTACTACTTATTAGAGTTATCACTATACCAATCAGTTTCTGATTTGGTGAGGAGAGAGAGAGCGAGAGAGAGACCAGTCAGCTCAACAAACTAGTTCAACCACTAAAATAATAGGTTTAACAAGTAGCCCCCAACAGACACACATGCGCATGAAGGCACGCATGCACGCACATAGCAGTCTCATAATATTACTTTATGTGCGTGTGTATGCGTTCAACAAAAATGGGGGCTCATTTTTCCCCAATTGCGTCTACATGTCTACTTGTGACCAAAACTTGGGGTCAGACAAGCACCATTTTTCCAAATGACATGCTATAGTAGAGAGAGAGAGAGAGAGAGAGAGAGAGAGACCAGTCAGCTCAACAAACTAGTTTGACCACTAAAATAATAGGTTTAACAAGTAGCCCCCAACAGATGCACATGCGCATGCAGGCACGCACGCACGCATGCACATAGCAGTCTCATAATATTACTTTATATTCGTGTGTATGTATTCAACAAAAATGGGGGCTCATTTTTCCCCAATTGCATCCACATGTCCACTTGTGACCAAAACTTGGGGTCAGACAAGCACACATGCTACAGTAGAAGCCTATTGTTTTATATAATCTCTTCCACACACATACAAAGATATGTGTGCATGTGGGCGTAAGAACACACATGCATGCACACTGTGTGTAAGTGCACAAACGCATGCACACACACGCAACACAGTGAGAACACAAGTCTACATATTGATGCCTCCTACAACAAGGCAATAGCCTCTTGCAAACCAAATTACGCAATAGTTTTGTTCCTTTTGCAGATAAAGGTGAACAAACCATATGTGAAGTCGCCAACAATATCCCAGCAATTCCTAATTTGAGAATTGGTATCACAAAAAATGCCTTTTCAAATCTCACTCACTAATTCCACCACACACACACACCCAAGCCCCTCTCAAGTGCTCAAAAAAATCTCTAGAGACACTGTTAAGATGCTATTCTTACCGAACCAATATTTCTAAACCCCCAAGGCACTTTTGCAATATTAACATCTGAGTGCATCTTATGGACATTACAACATGGGGGCGCATTGGTTACTTTCTATATCTAGAGGTAATACAAATATTTACAAGCCCAGCGAGTAATGGAGTATTTTAAATCAAAGAAAGAAAGTATTAACGCAGCAATGGATAATAGAAATTCCAAATTTCTAATAATCAAGCGTCAATGAGTAGGGTCTAAGCTGCATCTATATATCAATCAAATTTATTCAAGGCCCAAGAGCGTGATGTGCTTTAATGATCTTTCATGATCTTTCAAGGTCATGCCCCGAATTTGTAGCACCTAATAAATGAGGAAAAGTATATCTTCTTTTCCTTTTATAATTGAAGTCCAAATCAGCCCAGACCCAATTTAAGAGATACCCAGACCCAATTTAAGAGATACAAAGTTAGATAATCATGGTGGAAAATAATCCCAGGAAAGTAAACAATCTCTCTGGACCATTTACTAGCCTCAGTTGATGGACAAGGGACACAGACTAAACCTGGCAAGCCACCAAGTCTAGTCAGAACTCATGCAAGTCCTTAGTACAGCATGCTTAGTGTAGCAGTCATACATCCTCACTCCAAAGTCTAAAACTAAGATTCCGCTCGCGCTCAAAAAAATCTGTTCACAATTTAATTCCTATTCTATAGTTCTTGCAAATAACGACGATTCCATTCAATAATTTGTGCAACAATAGTGAGTCGATTCAATAACTCGAAAAAGAGCATAACTAGATAATTGTGAAGCTTATTTCAATAAATAAGTATCAGTGACAAAATTTAAATACAGATGCCATATAAAAAATTAAAAAATATTAAAACAAAAATTACAATGGAGTTAAAATACAAATTAGTGAGAGAGAATGATCGAAGTGAAGACACAGAGAACAGAGAAACAAAAAGTAGGATGGGGAGAGAAGATCTAGAAACTAAAAGAGACAAAGAGAGTAAGAGACAAAGAGAGAAGACTCGAATAGAAACTAAGAGGATAACAAAGTAATGTAAGGGATGGACAAGATAAGAGCCAATGAGGCTTGGAGTAAGGTGACCTGGAGAAAGGGCAAGAGAGGGAGAGAGCAAGACCAAGAGACTGAGAAAGAGGCTAGCTTGAGAGAGAGAGAAAGGGAAGAGGAGGGGGCGACAATTAAGGAGGGAGGACGAAAGAGAAAGCAAGAGGAATGACCCAAAGAAAGCCACCAAGACATACATCATTGCAAGAGAAATGTATTGTCATACATATTACAGGCATCCCATGCGTGGTTGCTTTGTGCCTGTATTCCAAAACTCAGCCTCACCCAAGTTTATTTGACTCACATAAAATTGTGAGTAAAAGAGAATCACTATGGAACTACATCAGCCAAGTTTAAGAGTACTCAATATGATGTGCAAACTAGACCAAATCAATACACTGAATGGAAATTTTCTTGTTTAACCAAGTCTACTTATATCGCACAAAGCCAAAGTCCAACACTGAGTCTTTGACTCTAAATGAAACATCAATTCCCAAAAAAAACAAAAAGAAAAGAAAAGAGAGATAAAAAAGAAAAAATGGAACTAGTATCCATACAAAAAAAGAAAAAGGAAATGTTTGATAGGGCTGAGAATTTACCTGGTTTGGATCCGAAAGGCGAGTTTCGGACCATGTCCAGATGCAGGTATGGAACCAAGATTTGGATCCGGATTCAAATTTTGGATCCGAATAGTAATTTGGATCGGATTTGGCTACAAGTGGATCCAATCTGGATCCGACCCAGTTATTAAAATATTATATTATTTTATATATACATATGCTATATAGTATTTTTTGTTATATATTATTTTTTGGATATAAAATAATTCTTTTGGATCTGATCAAGTCTTGATCCAAATCTGAATCCCATGCATACTTTTCGGGTCCAGACCAGATCTGGATCCCATGTATACTTTTTGAACCCGAAACCAGATCCGACAATAAAACTTGGTGGAAGAGCGATGAGGTTCAAAGGCCATTAGCGAAAAATGATCATGTTATAAATACTTGACAATGTGATAGAAATGACCAAAACTAAGAAGAATATAAAAAAGCTAAGAAAAATGTAAAACAAATAGTAACTAAGGCTAAACTTAATGCATATGATAATCTATAGAGTAAACTGGGAACAAGAAAAGGTGAAAAAGATGTTTTGAAATTTGGAAAAATGTGAGAGAAAAAGAATAGGGATGCATTAAGAGTAACGATCAAAGGGTCTTGATGAATGATGAGGAGGTTAACGAAAAGTGGAGAGTTTATTTTCAAAAATTATTAGATGACGAATACAATGGGAACATAGCAATAAAAGGAACCGTTAGCATAAATGAGGGCGGAGGTCATAGATACATTCGTAGGATTGGGATATTGGAAGTGAAAGAAGCTTCGAAAATGATGAAGATAGAAAAAGCTTTAGGACCAGATGGTATCCCGATAGACGTTTGAAAGTGCATGGGGAAGATTGGCATTGACTGGCCGACCACGTTGTTCAACAAAGTGCTGAGAACAAAGAAAGTGCCAAACAAAGGGAGGAAAAGTATTGTGGTGCCTATTTACAAGAACAAAGGAGATATACAAAATTGTGCAAACTTTCAAGGGATCAAACTTATGAGCCACACTATAAAGCTTTGGGAGAGAGCGATTGAGCAACGACTAAGGAATGAAACGAGTGTATCAGAAAACCAATTCGGTTTTATGCTAGAGAGGTTAACAACCGAGGCTATTTTCCTACTTAGACAACTGATTGAGAAGTTTAAAACAAAGGGAAAAGCCATACACTTTATTGATCTAGAGAAAGCTTATGATAGAGTATCTCAAGATTTGATTTGGTGGGTGTTAGAAAAGAAAGAAGTCGTCAGACACTACATACGATGGAGCACTAACTAGTGTATAAACAACTAGTGGAGAGACGAGTGAGTTTTCAATGACAATAGGTCTACATCAGGGGTCAGCATTGAGCCCATACCTCTTTGTCTTACTTATGGACGACTTAACTAGGCACCTACAAGATGAGTATTTTTTGATAACAAACCTACAAGATGAGTATTGTAGTGCATGTTGTTCGCAGATGACATAGTTTTAAATTTAATTGATAAAACCTAAAATGGCATCAACATAAAGTTAGAACTTTGGAGGGATGCTCTAGAATCTAAAGGTTTAAAATTAGCTCGACTAAGACTGAGTATATAAACACAAGTTTAGTAATAATAAGAGTAGAGACGAGGAAGTTATTAAAATTGATGGCCCAAAAATCCTAAAAAGAGCGCACTTTCGATATCTTGGGTCCATAATCCACGACAATGGAGACATTGGGGAAGATGTCGCACATGAAATTAGAGCTGGATGACCGAAGTGGAGATGTTCAACCGAAATTTTATGTGATCAATGCATATCGATGAAGCTGATGGGAAAGTTCTATAGGACAGTTGTGAGACCAGCTTTACACTCTATAGGGAAAATTTGGGTATCAAAAAACAATATACCCACAAAATGAGTGTAGCGGAGATGAGGATGTGGAGATGGATGAGTGGCAAGACAAAAGGGGCTAGAATTCAAAATGAATGCATTCAAGAAAATTTAGGTGTGGCATTAATAGGCGACAAGATGAGGGAGAGTAGACTTAGGTGGGTTGGCCACGTGTGGCACAGACCAAATACAGCACCTATTAGGGGGTGCAATTTAATACAAGTGGAAGGCTCAAAAAAGGCAAGGGTTAGGTCCAAAGGACATGGTTGGAAGTAGTGAGAAAACATATGAGGACTTTTGGCCTCATTAAGGGTATGGCCCTTAATAGAGCAGAATGACAGACCGAGATTCGTGTAGCCGACCCCAATTAGTTGGGAAAAAGCTTTGATGATGGTGATGATCCGAATCCCAGTGGGTCCGAACCCGATCGGACCCATTCTCAGCCCTAATGTCTAAGAAAATCCAAACATTCAATGAATTAAATGGCATCACCTATTCTCGTCCACCACGAAGCTGAACCACCAAGTTCCAAACATTACTCATCAATCAACAACAAAATGTTCCATACATTACTCTTAAACCACAGCATAATCCCTTGACGCCATTCCATCATATATCAAGATATTGTCACCCTTTGTGACATGTTGTCTCTCAAAACTCCATGGGAATGCTGCCTCCATTACGTATATAGCTCTATCACCTTCTGTCATGATCTAATACATCAATTGAGCTCCGTGGAGACCTCAGTAGCCTCCTCAATAGCCAGCCAACTCAAATCATATTTCTCGAATACCCAATCAACATCCTGAATTCTACCCACACATCGTTATCACTGATGTATTTCAAGTTGGCCACTATCAGTGCACTTTTCATAGACCATTAGATGTATAATGCACTGCATGTATACCTTTCTTTTTTGGTTTTAATTTATGCAGCAAATCTACATCTGATATAAATTTTCTTAAAATGGGTAAAGAATAAGCATTACAAATGTTGAAGTTCTAGAAAAACTACTATGTACCAACCAATTTACTAAAATGTACTCTAATAGCAATCACAACAGGACCCAAAAGTACTAGTAGCACCCTCACCCACATACCCCTCAGACCGCAGACGCCACCACCAACACAACCTATACAACTCATATCACAAAGAGAAAATGTAGTGTTTTTCTTAACTAGGACCTAATACATACATGTATTTCCATCCCTGAACGATCAAATCAATCCCTATATACTTATAAAAATAAACCATAAAGCTCTTAAAGACGAAGAGATGCTTGCCTGTTTAAGAATGTTCGGACAGGTAGAATTGGTCCTAAAACTACATAATGACTTCCATCACATTTTGAAATAATCAAAACAACAAAACATCACTCTTTTAGAAAAGAACTTCTGCTTAGAAACAAGCTGATTAAGAAAGCTTTCATTTAGAAAATTGAAATGATTCTTTAGAGTGCTTTGCTTTTTCATTCGCAAAAAGCCCTCTTCAATAATAGCTCTTACTAAAAGCAAATCCTTCACTCTCAGCCAATAGTTTGACCTTGCTACCACTGGCTTTGCTCTATGCTGGCCAGGTGGGGAACTCTTCTGGCTTTCTGCCTCTTAATACAGGGATATATGTATTTTCAGTGGAACTATTATTGGTCTCAAGTATTTCTGAGATACAAGGGAAGTGCTCAAATCCTCTCAGATTTGGTCAAAAATTCTTAAAAGTCTTACAAGAGACCCAAACATAAACAGCATCACAAACTTTTCTAGCACATCCTACTCCAAATTCAACGGCGAAACCCTTTTAACTTCCCCAATCTACTAAGAGCATATAAAGTCTTGGAACCACTCGAGATCACTTCAGGTCCCACAAGTGATTTACTCAGTAATGCCCCTTAATAGTAGAGTATCACCAGGTGCTTCATTAGCCTTACACTTGTCACTTCTCAGCAACCTTGTAGCCCATGGACGTCACCTATAAGTTCTTATAAGTACATAAAGGGAAGAGCAAGTCACCTAGCCTCCCTTAATATGCCCAAATTGTTTCTTTTGGAACCCGTTGGTGAACTCAACAGGGGAGGATGAATGCCTCCAATGAACAATTCAGATCACTATTTGTGGATTGAAATAACTAAATGAATTTCACATTATGAATCTCTAGTTTGAAGAATTAATAATCGCGACAATTCTATGAACGTACTCCCTTCCTTTCTTCTGATCTTTCTCCCTTAATTTTACACCTTTCACAAGACTTTTCTTCTCTTTATTATCTTTTTATTTTTTTGAGTCTTCAAATCTTTAAAATCATTGGATTGGATTAAAAATAGCACATCCCTAGCCATGCCCCTATATTACCCATAAACTAACGGAGTCCAAGTCAACAAGAGTTAGAAGATCCAACCTTTTGGTCAAGTCAAAATTAAGCATCAGTCAGTGGGATCAGCCCAAAACACTAGGAACCTTCCTCAATCCATCGAGACATTTCAAGGCTGTCAACTGCAGAGGAGCCGCTCCCTGCACCAGCCTGCAGGGCGCATGGGGTCGGGTCTTATGCACCATGCACCTCAATGTCGCCGCAATGCACATCACATCCAATGCGCACAGTGAATTTTAAAAATTCCAATAGATTATAAAACTAATAACAATACAAAAAATAGCATGAATACGTGATTTACATGATTGTAGACATTTGTTATTTGCATCTAATATAACTTCTACCTGAGTCGCTGATGGAGTTACCGAGAGGTTATCTATCTCTATTCTTTGATATAATTAGTACATTGGATAAAACTGATCTAATCCATTTATCAAATTCAATACAAAACAAGTATGTCAATATACTAAGCACTTAAGACAGCAAGCTTAGCAAATGATCTGATGGTTTAAACAAGTACAAACTCATCACACCATGTAGTATACGATACTGTATGGCTATACTGATGTTTTTCGAATTCACTTTTGAATTGGGAAAGATATCACAATGATTTAGAATTTGAAAAACGTCAGTATAGCCATATAGTATCTTCTCACAAGATTAACCAACTGGTCAAAAAAGAGTATGTTTCCATTCTTTTAAATGGAAAAAGAAGAAAATAAAGATTTTCGATATACGCAAAGTAGTAGCAAACATAGTAAAAAGATGCCCCTTCTGACCTTCCCTATTCTTTCCCAAAAGTTATCAAATCAAACACATGGACTTTCTCCATGTTACGAGTAGAAGCTCGATTTTTCCCCCAAAACCTTAATCAATCAAAATGCATGTAATATTAAGGGCCTAAATAATCCTATCTAATGCAAGACGGGTCATTGGCCCTCCACCACCGAGGGACAAGACTGCACAAACAATGATTTGCCCTGTGTTTAAAACCCCACCAATCCAGATTGGGAATTGCCAATCCATATCAGGAATCAGTCCACAACACACCAGTTCCCAGCCAAAACCAGGAATTGATCTAGTATGGGCCGACTCATCCAGTTCTATGATTGTATTTTTTATTAATTTTCCTTTTTAATTTTTTCCTGTTTTTTCTATTCACCAATTCTCACGCTAAAGAATCTGCCGTCTCGCCTATCTAGACATGTTTCCCAGACAACTGGTTCGCCTAGCCGATCCAGGTATTAAAACACTGGTTTGCCCATAAGAGCTCAATACACATGCATGCAAATCCACAACACCTAAGAGAAACCTAAAATGCAAACAAATCGACTCAAATATCAAATGGAAAACCATTGTCCAAGAACTATAGCAAGATTAACAACACCATTGTAAGCCTCATGAGAAACAAGAAACCTTACCATCATTCCCTTTCTTCACTTTTCCTTGTTGGTTATGATTTTCTTTTGTAGCTTGGTTTCCTGCTCTCTGCCCAACAAATAAAGCATTTTGACATCCAAAATTAAGTTCAGAAAATGAACTACAAAGATTAAAATAAAAAAAAAATTTAAAATCTAAAGATTACTCATTGAAAAAGGATCTGGATATTATTTTAAATCAAATGCCACAAAACGAGGTAACAAAAGGTTCATAACAAAACATGTGGAGAACAAATTATGAGCTCCATGACTGATGTTAAATAGATGATTAAACAATGAATAGTAGAGTACCACCCTCCAAGGCATTTCCACCCATTCTAGTTAAGGTGATGCCATGCGAATCAGTTTAGTACGGCTATTCAAGGGTCTTTCCACCCTTTCTACTTAAGTTGATGCCATGCAAGCATCGAAAGCTTTAAAAATTTAATCAAGGACTGCAGCCCAACAAAAGTTGATCACTTTGAAAAGTGTTCATTAGAGGCATTTTACAAGCTCCAACATCCCCAACCTCTTTTTTCTATATCTTTGGATGGGTAACATGCTAATGTTTCAATCCTGGAATGATCATTTTAAATAAAGTGAACTGGCAAAGAACACAAGGAATGAGCAAATCTTATTGGAAAGGATGAACATCGTCAATCAGCTCCAAACATAAGATATTAAACCAGGACAATACAGGTATGGTCAACGAATCAATCTCACGGATTGGATTTTCTAATTCTAATCAAGCTTCCAATTTCAATTTTTATGGGTTTTGATCTACTGAAATGAGTCTAAGAGGTTCTTGGAAGACATATACAACACTAACAAACCCACCAAAGCATTTCCCACCATGAGGGAAATGATGAATGACCCCCTACATGTGGTGATTTTGGGCCACGGAAACATATGATCCTTTGCTGCCTGTGGCAGTACAAGAAAGGCATCCTCTAGCCGCCACTCCTCAAAGTAGCAGCTAAAGCTGCCCGACAGGAGACTTCAGAGTATTATGGAAAACATATAGCATAGTTCAAAATAAAGAATAAGTGAAATAGGAACTAACATGAGATGGAAATAGCAATGAGGAAAGGAATCAGACTTGAGTCAAGCTGGTAGAGGCTGTGTTTTCATAGCACAACGTCTCAAGTTCCATTCCTATGTAACCTTCTCAAAAAAGAAAAAGCAAAGCGAAAAGGCATAAAAAATTATGTCATAAAGAAAAGAAAAACAAATACTAGAAGACATAAAATCATTAACTGAGATTAATGAATATGGTGGCTCCATGAAATCAATAGGCCTTCTAGAATCTCTTCATCTATGATGGATCTCTAATTGCATCTCCAATAATAATTTGTTTGAAATCCCACTTGCTAGTTCCTCCTCACCTGGTCCAACCAGTCTGGCCCAGCCCGCCTTAAGCAAACCTGACCACTTTCTGGTTTCTCTGGAGTTGGACTCTTGCTTCCCAAGTACCCATTCCCGCATGTTCTCTAAATCTACCTCAGATCACAAGACCAGGGGTGGCAATCGGGTCAGGTCGACACTCCGACAACCCAAACCAGGTCTGGTCCAGGTCCATGTTTTGGACCTATGAGACGGGTCCAGGTCCAAATGCTTGGACCCAACCAGGGTTAGTTCTGAGCCCGATTCAACATGGACCCTAACAGGTGGGGTTGGGATCGACCCAAACCAACCAGACCATGTATAATATATATTATATAATATATATATTATAGAGTATATAAATTTTTAAAAAACAATTCTAGACCCAAGCATGGGTCCAAATGACTTGGACCCGACCCAAGTCCAAATTGGGCCAAGGTCCAAGTCACTTGGACTCGACCCGGGTCTGGATCGGGTCCGGTCCAAGTTAACCGAAACCCACGCAAGCCCATCCTTTCAAATATTAACTCCACCTCCACTGGTTCTAACCCTCTTAGGTTTGAACATGGTTAGAAGAGGTCGACTTCAAGTTCTGCAATCAAGGAATTCCTTTTGTCTTCGATTCGGCAGGTTACCACATGCAAAAGAAGCTACAACTCCGTAAACTAGCCATCAAATCTTGGACTCGTAACATCTACATTTTGATCAAGAACACTCTTCTATGATATCCAAAACCTTGACCCCCTGGAGCAATCTGGGCCCCTTGATGAGGATGCACTCTCCAACAGGATTGAGGCTCATAGCTCTTTAAAGACTCTTGTCAAGAAAGAGGACATCTATTGGTCACAAGGCTCTCGTTTTACATTGCTTTCTTTTGGTGATAGGAATATGGCCTTTTTCCACAAAATGGGTAGCTCTAGACATCGTGGAATCTTCATTCACAGCATCACTGTTGATAAAATGTCCTTTACAAAACCCCACCGCTTAGTCTAGGTGTTAGCATACGTCCGGAATCTTTCCTCGATCGAAAGTGGTCCACACTCTATCGTGTCGCATTTATCTTTTCTTATCCTCTCTCAAGCTCATGCTGATAACCTTGAGGTTCCCTTAACCTTAAAGGAGATTCGCAAGGCCATCCCTGATTTAGGAAATGATAGAAACCCCAGGACCAAATGGATTTCCAATCATTATTTTTTCTAGGTTCAAGGACACCCTTCCCCAGATGTCCTCGCTTTTTTCAGTGAGTTCTACCACCGCGCCACTACCAATAAGAGTGAGAAGTCTACCTTCATTGCCCTCATTCCCAAAATTGAGGGCACTAGTGATATCAAGGACTTTAGGCCGATTAGTCTCCTCAACTCCTCCTTTAAGCTCTTTAATCCTTACTAATGTCCTGGCTTCAAGGCTAAAATTGGTCCTTGGCCACATTATTTCTCCCAACAAGAGTGGCTTTATCCATAATTGCCAAATCCCTGATGAGGCTCTAGTGGCCCACGAGGTTATTCTTTCACGTCACCTCTCCAAAACACTGGGTTCAATTGTAAAATTTGATTGGGAAAAAGCCTATGATCATGTTGACTAGTGTGTTCTTGACCAGGTCATTTGCCCATGGGTTTCGTTGCTTGGTGGGAGGGGTTGGATCCATGGATGTGTCTCTTCTGCCTTTCTTTTTGTTCTAGTCAATGGTTTACCTAAATGCTAATTTCATTCCTCCAAGAGGCCTCCACCAAGGAGATCCAATCTCCTCCTTCCTTTTCACCGTTGTAGCTTAAGTCTATAGCAATAATCTAAAAAACAGTCCGCCCAGTGCCTAGGCACCCAAGACACCTCTAATCGCATGCCTAGACTTGGGCACCCCATTCTAGGCGACTATACCTGTGCAGCGCCTAGAGACGTGGGCCTTTGTCAATTTTTAAAGATGCCCAAAAGGGAAAATGGGTAATTTTGACCCCAAAAAGGTTTAAATAAGTTATGGGAGTTATTTTCAACCCCCAAAGTTAAAAGAACACTTCCATAAGCCCTCAACCTCTTAGTTATACCTATTTCTGATAATCAAAAGTATTTTTAGTGCTTTGAAGAAGCTTCCTAAACTTTTCTTTTCTCATTGGAATTATTTTCTCATATGGAGAGTTGGAGACTATTACTAATGCATAGCATATTAGACTTTTAATTTTTTTTTAAATTTAGTATGGTTTGAATTTTGAAAGCTTTTTTTTTTGAGAAAGTTAACTTTTATAGAGTATAAGAAAGTACAGAGAAGAGAGGAGGATGCGGTCCACAGGCGAAGAGCTAAACATAACCGTTATGAAAAGGGGGATGAGAGAGAGAAGAATCCAAAAACATCTTTTTAAAGGTTATAGTGATTAATACGAAGCAACAGGCAAAAAGATGTCGATCCCAAAAATTAAGGGCCAACTAGCAAGGGCGTCTACTGCCTGATTTCCTTCCCTCCAAATATGCCTCCATGAGAAGTGCATATCCCTGCAAATGTAGTGAATCTTGTCAAAAATATGTGCAAGGTTCCATGGGGGGGGAGAAGATTTAGAGGCCCAAGTAATGACATTCTTAAGTGTCTCCTTCAATAATGAGACACTCCGAGTGAAATGGAAAGGAAAATTTTAGGCCTTCAAGAAGGTTGTTGCCTCTGACTCCGTGAACTCTGAATGACCGACGAATTTGGATAGGGAGGATAGAGTGGTACCAATGCTATCCCTGAGGATTGCTCCAATCCCGACAGATCCGAGGTTCCCTAGGAAGCAGCCATCAAAATTGAATTTGTGATGGCCTGGCTCTGGTGGTCTCCAACAAAAGCTTCTGGATATTCCAATACTCCTATGCTGTAAAGTTTGAACAAGTTTATTCTCAACATGTGGTATCTGGTATGTCATATGTTTGTATATAAACAAGTATGTTACAATATTTTCAAATGCACTAAATCAAACACAAATATTATGTCTATTTGGATATAACGTATATGTATTTATCTAAAGAATTTGTACTACAGGGTGCTGGGCGCCAGGCCGGCTGCCTAGCGTTTTTTGAAACCATGATCTACAATAGGTCCCTTTCGAGACTTTATAATAGGGGCCGTTCGTTGGGTTTCCATGTTTCCAGTTCTAGCAATTCTGTCTTCAAGCTCCAGTATGCAGGTGACACCCTTGTGCTTTGCAATGCTACTCCAAAAGAAGTGGACACTCTTTGGATTTTCCTTAGATGCTTTGAGATTAATACTGGAATGCCAAGCCATATGGCGAAATCCAAATTTATGGAGATTCATGTTTCTTCATATGATCTCTCTGCCCTTGCTTCTAGACAGGGTTATGCTATGGAATCCTTGCTGACCAAAAACCTTGGTCTACCCCTTTGCGCAGGTAAATCCTCAACATCTCTCTAGCACCCTTGTCATTGATAACTTCCATAGAAAACTCGATCTATGGCAGGGTCGTTTCCTTTCTCTGGGTGGTTGTATTACTCTAATCAAGACCAACTTGTCTAACCTACCCATTTACTATATGCCTCTTCCTTACGCCTAAAAGTCTTGTCAGATCCTTAGAAACAATCATGAAAGACGTTTGTGACCAGGTGTTAAACAACATAAGAAGATCGATCTTGTAGCTTGGGAAGAGGTCTGCACCCCAAAGCACCAAGGTGGTCTAGGTATTAATCATAGTTTTAAAAAGCAGACCGCTCAGTGTGTAGACAGCCGCTTAGGCCTAAGAGGCCAAACTAGGCGAATGTCCTTGGCCGCCCGCCTAGGCGGCTGCCCAAGGCCTACGCCCGACCTAGAGGCAGAAATGCGGCTCCTTGAGGGTATTTTTTGGTCATTTTTTGTAATACTAAAGGGGCAAAATTGTAGGTTCTAAGTTTCATTTAAAACCTAAAACCCATTAGAGGCTATTTTAGAAAGAGAAAACCCAAAAAAAAAAAACTTTCTATGAGGCCGCTCAGGTTCTGGGCGCCCGCCTAGGTGCTGGGTGGCCTGGACCCCCCCTGACTGCTTAGGTGCTGCCTAGCGCTTTTTGAAACACTGGTGCTAATAACCTGAAATGCATGAACCTTGCTCTACTGAAATGCATGAACCTTGCTCTACTGAAAGGCATGAACATCGCTCTACTTGGAAAACGATGGTGGTGTCATGCCATCAATGCAAACTCACTCAAGAGAAACATTGTGATGCAGAAACATTCCCCAAACCCCCAATCCTAGTTCTCCCAAAGGAGAGTCACTTCCAGGTTTCGATAGAAGCCTATGTCTCTGCCAAGTCTTTTCTCTCTGCCATTGGGCTCAAGGTGAACTGTGTTAGTAAAGTCTCCTTTTACTCCGATCTCTAGATTGGGGATCGTCCCCTCAAGGAGAGGTGGCCACATCTTTTCTCTAATTCCAACATGCCTTCCACCTACTTAGCACAATTCTTTGATTCCACAACCCACCTTTGTTGTGCAACCACACTATTAGGTGACCCTTACTGACTCATCACTCCACCACCAAGGTCCCTTATCGGAGTTTCTATTCCCTCTAGATTCTCCTAAAACTTCTTTTGCCACTTTCTTGATACAGTCAGCCATCTCATTCCATATTATATTGACATCATCATGTTCAAAGTTCCATTTTCCTTCTTCAACTAATTTATCCCTAAATAAGTCTATGTTCTCATTTTTTAAATTACACCACCTAGTTCTTGGGCACCCATTACTTTCACCCCTTCTCTGCCATGTCTTTATGCAGACGTCCATAACTACGAGCCTATGTTGGGTAGTCAAACTCTCTCAAGGGATAACCTTGCAGTCTTTACATGATGGTCGATCTACCTTCTTAACTAGGAAGGTAGATCACCCCAGGTTTTTTGACTTGCTTACTATCTACAATTGAAATCTTACCATTGAACATCTTCAAAAGAGAGGATTCCCCCTAGCCAATCGTTGTTGTCTTTGCTGGGAGGCCAAGGAAACTCATAGCCATCTATTGCTGCATTGTACAGTTGTGGAACCCATTTGGGCTTCTAACCATAAGCTCTTCAATAGGAATGGGTGACACCTTTTTCCACATAACAGCTTTTCTTGGCCTTTTACAAAACTCCCTATATTGAGGCCAGTCGTTTCCTCTAGAAGGTTGTAGTCTTGGCCGCCTTTTGGAATATGTAGACGCTGAGGAAATCTAGAATTTTCCAAGGTATCCAAAAGCCTAGTTCTTGCACCCCCGATCAAATTCACAATACTACTATCTTTTGTGCTTTTTTAAATGACAAGTCTCACCGGCACTTTTCGAGGATGATTTCTTAATCGATTAGGAAAATATAATCATGCACAGATCAACTAGGAGCCTCGATCTTCTTCTCCCCTTGGATGGTGATTCCATCAAACTCAATTTTGACAGATGCTCCTTCGGTAATCCAGGATCCTGTGGCTTTGGGGAGGTTTTCAGGGATGCGAATGCCAATATTTTGCCATCTTTTTCAAGTTCTCTTTGCTATGGTAACTCCACCTAAGTCGATACAAAAGCATTCTTGGTAGGTCTATTAAGGTCCAACCAATCCTAGGGTACCTTATCGTGGAACGCGATTCTAAGAACGTGAAATCGAGGGCCCAAAGGCTGTCCGAGCACCCTTGGAATCTTTCTCATACCTTTGACAGGTTTTCTATATTTGCAAGTCTCTTCAAGTAGACTTTCATCATATCTAGCGACAGGCCAATATGGTGGCAGATGCTCTAGCTACAGAGAGCGATACTGTTAGTATTTTCCCACACTTCAGAAAGGCCCGGCCACCACCACCTTAGTTTGTTTGGATGCTAACATCAATTTTCTGTTTGGGGTCTATCACTATGCTTCTTTGGATGCTAACATCAATTTTCCGTTTGGGGTCTATCACTTTGCTTTTTTGGATGCTAACATCAATTTTCTTTTCGGGGTCTATCACTTTGCTCTCTCTCTCTCTCTCT